GGTGTTCAAAAAAACCGAATAACCGAAAAAACCGAGAAAACCGATAGAAAATTAACCGAAAAAACCGAACCGAGATAAAAAACTGATTAAACCGATTACTAAACCAAAAAATCTGTCCGGTTCGGTTCAGTTTCGGTTTCACCACCAAAACCGGTGAACCGAACCGGCTACCCATTAAAATAAAGCTAAGGCAGAAACGACCTAGTATAAATACTAAATGCCTAAATGGTACAGTAAAATGTAAACCTAATTCATTTAGTTTTCATTTGTAGCCAGTGCCACACCAAACCAACCTTCTTCCTTTCCCTTTCAATTTTCATCTTCTTTGTCTCTTGCCCCCTGCATGTCTGTCTCTTCTCTAGTTGATTAATAAATAAATAACCCATATCTCCGCATCTATCTAGTAGACTTGCAGTGGAAAAAAAACTCGAACAAAACCCCTTGTGTCTCTCTTCACCTACAGCAGAAAGAGTCAAAGAGGTAAAGTTTACTGTTTATGCATTGTTAATTCTGTTCTGGCCTTCGTGTGCTTGTAAGTTTTACTTGTAATATTTTATAATGAATAAAAGACTAAATCTTCCCAAACTGTAAGCCAATTTAAAGAAAAAACCAAAAAAACCCATGGGATTAGGTTTCCCGGTTTTTTCCTTAAAAAACCGGATTTAACCGAACTGGACCGGTTCGGTTTGAACCGGTTTTCGGTCCGGTTCGGTTACTTTTTTTACAACAATACAGTAATTCGGTTCGGTTAGTTTTTTTAGTCTAAACCGAACCGAACCGAACCATGAACACCCCTAGTTGGCAATAACCGGAAACTTTTTCTAAAAAGTAATCTTACTTGGAAGCAAAGATAACGTATAAACTACAACAAAAGAGACCATAGACAAGAATGGCATTACATTAAAGACATGCCACACTAAAAGGGCTGAGTTCTCACGCTTCCTGAACTGGAAAAACAACACAGCCCATAGCATTACGTTTATGAAGAAAAAAGGTAGCTCTAGTAACTGCAGTGATCTGGAAAAAGCATACCATTATAAATCCGATGTAGTTCATGTCACCAGATGCCTACTTAGAGACATGTTACATGAATTACAACGCATACCAAGAGGCAGCAACTCGACAGACTTAACCAAAATCAACCAAGTGAACAATAAGTCCAAATGCAGCTGGAAAGATCATCCATCGAGTATATATCCGAAGGAAAGCAAAATAGATGGCAATCTACCGAGAGGAAGTTCCCGAGTTAGAATTCAGTGACATAATTGCAATGTCCAACACATTGGTTAGCTGCGTGCACTCACCTTCAATCCAAAATATGAAGACGTCATCAAGCAGGTTTGTATAATTGTGCCCAACTTTTCAGGAGTTTCTTTCTCTTAAGTTCATCTAGAAGCCAGCATTTGTCCAACTTCAGAGTTTATATAGCATCACAAAGCAGGTAATTTAGTAACAAATGAGATTTGGCATACCATGTAGAGGAAAAACTCGTTTAACAATGCCTTCAGATTCCAACATTTTTAGTAAAGGTTCCCATACTAACACTTTGCCATCCAATGCTAGAGTTAAGTCTAGCTTGCCCTTGTTTACCTGTAAATTTCAGTTTGAGTTTCATTAACCAGAGATATCAGATATGCTAAGTTCAAAATGCATGCATGTGTGCACACATGAGCAGACCTGGGCACAAAAGAGGTTTGGGCTATCTATGTTAGTAAGGATATTTCCCAAGGACGACGATAGGATGAAGTTGTTGGTTCCTTCAAATTATTACATAATGGAAGTGTGCTTGTGACATATACAGAATGTTTTTCAATTAAATGAGATGCATAGCGATTGAAGGGCCAAGCAAAGGTGCATAACAGTAAGAAAAACACAAAAAAACATGTCTCATCATACAAAAATGTCATCCCGAGTTGTGATTTTGTGCTTTTTCGCAGCCAGAAAATAAATCTGAATTTAAATTTTCAGTAAGAGAGAGAGCAAACAAACTATGCATGCAAAAATATCTTACAATCCCATGTAATAATTGCTTGTAGCACTGGAAACGCTCAAACCAACTGAAAATGAGCCATCTGGCTGTCTCACAAATGCTTTGACATCCTCCCATTCAAATTGTAGAAAGCATGGTAAGACAAGCCCCCTTGTTATAAAATTAGGAAAAAAAAAAAGGGAAAAATCAACAACTTAAGAGCATCCTATAAAATTACCAATATAAGCTCGTTTGGTAGTGTTGTGAGGTGTGGTTAAAATTAAATTGTGCTATATTCACAGTTTTAAAGGTATTTGAATAATTAATGTACTCTATAATTTTGCATTTTGCATGGTTCCATTGAAAAGTTTTTCTTGAAACATTGATTATAAAAACGCTATAATTTATAGCTTTTCTTAAACCTATTTTTTCAAACCACAATATTTTTAAAATTATTTTATAAATGTTTGGTTAATTAATGCACATTGTTGCACCTATAAAAATTAGATATAAATACTTCCATATCATTTAGTATTTTGCTCTATTAACAACATCAAGTTTTAAACATGATACATATCATACTAAAAAGAAACTCAAAAAAATCTTATTACAAGTTCTTAAAAAAATTAATAATAAATTTTTAATTATAAATCAAAAGATGTTCTTTATTAAACAAAAATCCTTAAATATAGCTAACAACTTAAACTGACAATGTTAACTTCATAGCTCGAATCTCAATAAAACCTCTATTTTAATCCTCCACAAGGAAAAAAAAACATTCAAGCTAACTACACCTTAGCAAGTAACTTTACACATGTATCCAAGCACAAGTTTCACATATATACACAAACACGTATTGCATTAACAATAATAAAACAAAAACTTAAAATAAAAATATATCAATAATTCATAATTCACAAAACATGTAATAAAACTAGTCATCAATACATACTTTTACTTACATCCAATTTCATAAATATAACTTTATTTTCAAATCAAATTACTATAATTACACTATATTCATGCCGAGGCTATTAATTGACTATTCCTCACTAATTATTCTAACTAGTTGGCAAGGGCCATTGTCAACTATTATAATCCATTAATTAGCCATTATAGTTAGCTTTAGTGTCAACAAATCCATTTTAGGTGATCATTACCTCAACTTAGCCATTTAAAATCCAATGCGGAAGCATTTGAAAATCCATTTCAAAACACTTTTTTTTATAAATTAGGTTATAAAACACTTTTTATAAAAATACATGCATTAACAAATATCACATACAAGAAAATCAATTTGAGCATAACAAGTTTTGATCATATTTTAAAAAATATAATTAAAAAAATATTTATTTTATTTAAAAATAATAGTTTGTGAAGATTTACTCATCTCGTTTTTTTAATCAACCAAAGTCCATAAAATCAACTCAAACAACCTATTTCCAAATATATAACACATCAAAATCTCTCTAACACTTGATTACAATAATTTATTAACTGCATATTTTCTAATATAAAAACCATAACTTCTTATAAAAAATTTGAAATTTCATTTTGCATTTTGGGTTGTAAACTAGTATTAATTATATTTCCATCCATATATGATTCACCATATAATTTTTTTTATAAAGTTTATAAAAAGCCTAGAAATCATTTCTTAGCGTTGTTGCTAGATAATTTAATATCTTTTACTTTTTTTCACCTTAATTATCTCTATAAAACTCATATTAATACATCATTTATGGTGTTAGAAACAAGATAAAATAATAATTTTTTGAAGTATAAAATTTGGGTAAAAAAAATCTATTTAATATAGTTTTTGGGTTGACTAGAAGCTTTTGTCAAATACTTAAACTAACAACTTTTCACTTTTATACGTAATACTTTTAGACCATTAAATAATCATTAAACATTCTTAATACATCATACAATATCTTAGAATTTATTATATTCATTATATTTGATCATTCATACAAATAAGATTTAAATTCCTGAACTTTATGCATTTTTTATATAGCAAAAAAACTTTAATCAATGCAAAACCTTTCTACATAAAATAGATTCATATTTCTTACCTTGAAATTAAAAAAAAATGAAACTTCAATCACTCTAGGTAAATGTGCTTCACTACTCTTCTTTGCACCTTTTGAAATTCATGTGACTTTTAAAATTATTTTCTCTAAATTATTATGAATGTTATAAAACTAGGGTATATAAAGTATATGGTTCCATCTTTTCTTTTATATAAATATAGGGCTACATAAGCCTAATTTGTTTTTCTATTTAGTTCAAAATAAAATTATATATAACTTTGGTCCTTATAATACTCTAGCCAAAAAATATTTAAATTAGGGTATTACATTCCTCTTTCTATAAAAGTTTTATCCTAAAAACTTAATGTACCTTCATTCTCAAATATATAAGGATATTTTGCTAGTATATCTTCCTCTTTCTCTTAAATTGCCTTTCATGATATATGATTAGACCATCACACCTTCACAAATAGAATAATTTGATATCTCAATACTTAATCTTTTCGATTTATAATTTGAATGAGTAATTCTTTATAAGTTAAATCTTTTTAAACTCGCATCAATTTCTATACCATATCATGACTTAGATAAGAAACATACTTCCATAATGATATATGAAACACATTATAAATAGTAGATAACTTTAGTGGTAAGGAAGTTCTATAAGCAACTTCACAAATCCTTTCTAGGAACTCAAATGGTCCTATATAGCTCAACTTCCTTTGCTTATCAAACCTGATAAATAACCTTAATAGGAGATACCTTTATGAGAACATGATCACCAGAATTAAACTACAACTCATTTTTTTTTTTGTTAGCCTAACTCTTTTGTTGATTTTGAGCTACCATAAACTTATCCTTAATTAAATTTATTTTCTCTGTAATAGCTTACATAATTTTAGATCCTAACAACTTTTCCTCACTAATTTCATCCCAACACCAAAAAAAAATAAAATACATGCACCTTTTTCCATACAAAACTTCAACAAGTGTCATTCATATACTTGTCTAGTAACTATTATTATATATAAGCTTCACTAAGATAAATGGTGATGCCAATCACATTTGAGATCATTCACACTGGTTCTTAATAGATATTCTATAATATGATTAATTTGCTTGTTAAATACAATGCCAAATTTTAAATTTGTCTTATCTAACACAATACTAATAAAAACACCATATAAAATAACAATTTTATCCACATACAACCGTGTTAAATAATTAAGAAGAGTAGTAAGTTTGATAGGAAGAAAGTGAGTTGACTTAGTAAGTCTATCAATAATCACATATACAATGTCATTGCTTTCTTTGTTCTTTTTTTTTTTCTCGAAATCCTACCACAAATCAATTTGAAATGTGCTTCCATTTTCATTCTAAAATCTCTAAATGTTGCAACAGTCTTATAAATGTTTGATGCTCATACTTAATTTGTTGACAAACTAAACATCTTAAAACAAATTTAGTAGTTTCTTTTGTCATGTTATTCCATTAAAATATTTTCTTCAAATCCTAATTTATCTTTTTACCACCTAGATGAAAGGTGAAATGAAAATCATGAGTTTCATCCAAAATCTAGCCTAAATTCCACATTATTTGAAAAATATAATCAATTCCTAAACCATAAAATACCATCATCACATATCATACAATCATTTTTTAACCCTTTCTCCATCTTCTTTCTAATTTTACAAAGTTCATGATCCTTAAGTTGCTTTACTTTTACCTTCTTTATCAATGATGATTGAACTATTATATAAACTCTATGATTTTATCTTTTCTTTTATGTAAATATAGGACTATATGAGCCTTTTTTTTTTCCTACTTAGTCCAACACACACATACACACACAAAATATTTGTCCTTATAATACTTAAGCCCAAAACTATTTAGGTTAGTGTTTTAGGTTTTTTTCTGCCTTCTTCAACTAATGGATGTCATTGTTTATTTTTTGACAATTCATTTTGTTCCTTAAAGTTTTATTTTTGGTGATTTAATTTTAATGTAAGGCTAATTGCTTCTGATTTCTTAGTAAATGATAGAATTAGAAGAATAGAGATTGAAATAAAAAAGGCATCAAACGTGGATGGTGTGCTATAAGTTTCGGAAAATATATATTTTGGTCCTCTAACTTTAAAAATAATGCAAATTATATGATTTTAGTGCTTTAATTTTTTTCAAACTCAATTCTAGTACAAAAAATTATTTTTGTTATTTTTTAATCTTTGATTGAGAGAGGTTGTCAAATTCCAGCAGTAAAAAGAGAAAAATATCATTAACAACAAAATAGCTGATGTTAATGTCAAATGATTTTATTTGATGAGGGTAGTTTATATTAGGTGTTTTTTTAACTTTTAAAGTTCGTGAAAAATATATTTGAGCTCGGTTTAATTTTGGGTTGATTTTGATTTTTGGGATGATCTTTTAGTTTTTTTAAGTCATTGATTAGTTTATCACAATTTCTAAAATGTTTCATAGGCGTTTTGGGTCAAAATGAGTTGAAAAACAGGTTTTGAGAAGAAAAAAAACTTAAGCCCCAATTTTATAAAGTTTAATAATATATAAACCTATGAACTAGATTAACCAGCCAAACTTATAAACATGTTCATGGACTTTATAAAGTTTAATAAAATGACTTTTCTCTAAAACTATTTTTTTACTATATGATAAAACATTCATGTTCAATTAAAAAAATACCCCACTAAACTCATAAATCAAGATAACTTATATTACTTTGGCAAACCCAAAAGCCATACTAAACCTATAAAGAGAGAAAAGAAAAAGAAAATACAAAGTTAAATTCTCAACCATCTTAATAGTAAAAAATAAAAATGACAAAATAAAATTGAAAAAAATCATAACAAAAAAAGGGTAAAAGAGAAACAAAACATTGTGGATTACCAAGCTCAATTAAATAGGAAAAAAAATACCCCATTAAACCTATAAATCATGGCAACCTGGTTTACCTTAACAAACCTACAAATTATACTAACCCTATAGAAAGACAAAATAAAATAATAAAAAATTACGAAGCTAAATCCTAAACCACCTCAATATTCAAAAAATGAAATTGACAAAAACAAACTTGATAAAAAATCATAACAAAAATTCAATGAAAAAGTAAAAAAAAAAA